TTAAGAAACCTGACACCTAATTCGCATCAAAGTTCAATTTTACAACACCAAAGTTAATTTTTACAACGTCAAAGTTAATCTTGACAAAGTCAATATTTCCCTATATACAACAAGGAGCACTGACGATGATTCATTCGGAATCGAAATATGGCCTTATTTGCAGCATGAATTCGAAAAATAAGTTTATTTTGAATTTTAATAAACTAAACGTTCACCAAAAAACTTTAGTGAGAAAAATCTAAAAAACGAACTACAAACATATTAACGCCAAACATTCGGTAGAATTTATAGAATATTGTAAAAATTATGGTCTATTACCAACATATATATATATATATATATATATATATATATATATATATGCATGTGTGTGTGTGTGTGTATCTGTGTGTGTGTATGTGTAGAAATAAATAAGAACTTTGAGTCCAAGATTTAAAATGGATGCCAATAAAAGTTATTTACGTGATTTTTAAAAATCTAAACTGAAGCCGAGTGATGAAATTAAGAATATTCGAAAGGTGAACTGAATTCATTGTGAGCCGATGTCGTTGGTAGGCAAGTGGAGAGAAATGTCAAAATAATAAAGACAGAAGTCAAACGTGTACAGAAAATTAAAAGACGTCGATGAAGAGCGTGAAAACCACAAGGCAGCGTGAACAAACACTCAAACGAACCAGTTTCAAGATCTTTAGAGAAGCATTTGGCGTAGTACACGGTTTGTTCCCTGGATGTGTATGCGTTCAAGTGCGCTCCCAAGTTTTCCACCTCCAACTCCAAGTCAATTTGAGACCTTTTCTTTGTACCCTGACATGGGAAAACATTTTATTCATTATAACACACACACACACCCACACACACGCAAACCACAACACACTCGCACGCACAAACACACGCACACACCCACACACACACACAACACATAGCACGGACGGATATTATAAACCATGAAAGCTTGATGCACTAAGAAAGAAATTATAAAGAAAGGACAGGACGTCATCACACTTAGAAACAAGTTAAGATGAGTGAAAAGAAAGGGACGAATCACTCAATCACACGCTGGGTTAAAAAAAATTAAAAAGAAAAAGTAAAAAGCAAATTGGAACATCTGAAATAAAATTTGTCAGAGGACCTCAAGATGTTGCAGACAAAAAATAAACAACTGTCCCTTACAAGAGGTTGAGAAGGGACGTCGTGGAGCCATGGTGGAAAGTGGGCCTCCAAAAATTGATCAATTATTTTACATAAAAAAAACAATAAATATAGTATACATGGAAAAGACGACAGCAGTTGATTGATCTAATTTGCTGAAAGTGTTGATTTAAAATTAAAATGTAAGGCCACATTCTACGACATACAAGCAAAGTTGCAATCTGCTTTTTCATGAGAAAAAAATTTAGTAATGTAAGCAAGTACAATAGAGTACAAATTGAAAATAAATTTATACTTTCGTTGATGCAGACCAGGTTTCTTGTAAGGTTTCCTTGGAAATACTGCTAGAAAAGACATTTAAAAAAAACTAAAACAAGGTGATGGTGGTGACCTTCTCGCGTGGAAAAATCATAATAAATCAAAGCCAAATCAATGGCAGTAATGAAAGGTGGAAAACCGTTGGAGGTGTATGATCTGAGCATTCAATCCTAACAACCAAAGTAATGGGGACATTTTTAAAAAACTTGTAGCCGGCGAACAGACAAAAGCAAACGACAGAAATAGAAAGAATCTGAAACACTCACTCAAGAGTGTAGAAAAGAAATGACATGAATAGCTTGATAAATATAAACATGATCGAAAAAAAGAGACGTGAGAATATAAAATGGAAATAACTCGGTGATAAGTGTAGAAACTTAGAAACGGATTAAGCTGCTAAAAAGTGATGCACATAAAATGTAATAAGTCTCATAAGTAAGTTGAATTGCGGTTTAAGTTTTAGAACAAGAATAAATCGCTGAAAAAATGATGTGGATAAAATTTATGTGAAATAAAAACATTTACAAGTGGGTCGCTCAATGAAAATTTAAAAACTCCAGCTCTAACTGAACCTTGAAAGCCATGTGTTCGAGGAAATGTGCTACTCCATTGTTCTTTTCATTTTCAAATCGACTGCCTGCATCTATCCATATTCCAACCTGATCAACACGAATCATTACCGTTAAAAACATTTAAACTTGTAATGAAATGAAATTTTTAAAAAATTTTAATTTTTCATCTTCTTTAAATTATTACTCTTGATTCTTCATGTAAACAAGCATAGATTTATAAAATCATTTCTTTTAAATTGTGCGACAGACATGCACGTATGTTAAGGTGTCCCTTATTTTTCGAAGGTCAAAACAAGAAACGCATAACCTTCAAAAAGGAAAAGGTTTATTATGTTTAAATATGGGGAAAAAAGTAATTTTCAGCTCATTTTATGAACGGCAGCCAGTGCCAACTTGCATTTGGACATGCTCGCAGTAGTCGCGTCAGACACGAGATTTTTAATAAATTTCTTTGCGTTGCTTACATGAACGAAAAAAGATATTTTTAAAAAGAAATGCCCGCACTTATCTTATATATTGATTATTTTCAACAAAGTTCATTAAACCTTTTTAGTATTTATTGTTTATTAGTTTATTTTAGATTCATTTTGTAATCGGCATTACGGCATATTTCCATGGGATCTTCCACTGAAAACTTTGACGTCAACTCGGCTCGGGTCCACAGTATCATAAAAATTTAAAACATCATCATCGTCGTCGTCATCATCATCATCATCATCATCATCATCATTGTCGTTTTAACATCCGTGCTTCCGCGCTTGCACGGGTTGGACGGTTCCAAGGATGTCACTCCTCCATACATCGCGGTCTTGTGCATCTTCCCATCTCAACTTCATCTTTCTCATGTCATCTGCCACACACTCCTTCAAAGTTTTTCCTCCTCTTCCTCCATCCTTCTTCCCGTCAACTATCACATGTCTACATGCTGACAGCCAGTCATCCTCCTCTCTACGTTCCACATGCCCAGACCCATCTCAATCTACCCCGTCTCACCCTATCACACACATTTACTATGTTTAACCTTTGTCGGAGCTCTTCACTCGTTTTCCTCTCCCTCAGTGCTACGCCACACATCCACCTAATCATCATTTTTTTCTGCCCTTTCCATACGCTGCATATCTCCTTCTTTCATAGCCCATGTCTCACTGCCATACATCATCACACGTTGAACATGCGTACTGTATATTTTTCCTTATACCTTTAAAGGATGGTCTTTGAATTTCGAACAATTGGTAAACTCATCAGGTCAACAGGAAACTACAACGCCAAACATGGCACTCCTACTGTCAGTGCTAACTCAACAATTAATTCTTAATTATTCACGAACTGTAAGTGTGGAAGCATCCAGCCTCTAGCTGTTGTTTTGATCCACATAAGAAATATATTATGTATGTACGTCCTACCTCGGAAAACCGGGTCTCTGGACGCAAAATGAAGATTGATTGATTGATTGATGTCTACAATGCATTCGTTCACTGTCATTCAAGACAGAACAACGGTAGTGAAATTTTGAAATTTTCAAAAAAATGAACATTTTCATTGCTGAGTTTAGAAACCTAAAAATACTTCAATAAGAATGCAAAAATTGATGGAAACTTTTAAAATGGGCATCATTCCTATGTTTGATAATTTTGTTCTTAACTCTGTCATTATTATGATTATAATACAACATGCTTTGGCCGAAGCAAAAAGATTGTTTATAGAAAGCAATATAAATAATATTGAATAGATTATATCGATTATGTGTATCAGATAACAGTCATAAATACTGAATAGAACACATTGATTGTGCATCACTGACAGTGGCAGTTGGAGCTCCAGAATCTTCCGAGGCTACCCACATTCCATTCTTCAATGTGCTTACCTTCGTTTCTGGAATGTTCAACACACCAGGCTTCACTGCATTGAAGAACCTCTGAAAAGAATTAGTTATCATTTATGTGTAAATTAATTTATCAAACACCACCAACTGCAAAGGAAAAACTTATTCATAACATTTTCAATTACATCAAGCATAATTTAATCATTGTAGTCTTTTTTTACTTAACAGTTTTTTGCTCACCATTAAAAAACAAAACATTCAGGTTATATGTTGGGTACAACAAAATAAAATATTTTTGATATGAAAGCATTAATTTAGTAAAAATTAGATAGATTCAACAACTTAGTGGAATTACGACAGGGTTAGTTAAGTACATGGATACTAAATACATTGTATTGCATTTTGTTAGACATTTGTTGAATACACTAATTTACAACTGACATCATCTCTGTGGGACTGTGAGTCCGCTACGATAGGCCATAACGCAACTACCGTCAACGATAAGTACGTACTTTAAGTACATCGTGTTCACGCGCCCTCCCGAAAAAATTATGTATTCTTCAATAGCTGGAGACAAAGCCGTAGACTACACCCAACACATTGCTTCCCAATTGAGAATGCTTGCAGTGACATATTCAGAGTTCTACAAACTGGAGTTTAAGGATGTACAACAACAAATAAATAAAAATTTGAAAGTCTGTTAGCCGACAGAGCCGTCGTCAATAACAAAGTTCATAACCTATTAAAGGTATTAAAACATTAAGTTATATTATATAACATTTTATTTCATATGATTTACTTTTGTGACTTTTTTGTTACAGGAGGAGCTCACTGCAACATTCATCCATTAAAAGAATTGTCGTTAAAAACTAGTTAACTCTTGAAGAGAATAAATGACCAGACGAGGGTGCAGTACTACAAAATGGCAAATAATGCAACGTAGCGTCCTTCGTGTATAACCTCTCCAAGCTGTTCCTTTTCACAGATACAGCTATAAAAGTGAGCCACCGTTTTTCAAAGCTCTTATAGAGCACGGTGTAAAATCAGGATCGATCCAGCGGCAACCGTTTCAACATCCTCTTTCACATGGCAAGCGTCATTAACAAAGAAATAGATGTTTTTAGGTTGTATGTGTCAAGGTATTACAAATTCCTATTTTTTATTCTAATTGAAGATTATTTAACCTAACTTTTTTAAATGATGCCAACCACACTAATAGTGACGTCTACCGAGAAAGAACGATGGTTCACCGTAAATCTGTAGGTCTCGATATAACTTTAAAACTATCGATTTATTTACAAATCGATAATACTGTTAATCAGTATTCAACGTTAATTAATTTTACTAATAAAAGTTAATTTTTGCAAACTATCAAATTAACGTTCAGAAGCTATCGCTTTCCGAATAACAATTCACTAACGTTTATCGCAAATACAATAAAAATACAACGCAGAGTCAAATATCAAACACCGCTTTGGACATTAACAATCCCTATTTGATATCCTGCACGTCTTTATATACCCGACTTACCAACGCTTCTCGAATGTCCTAGATATCTCGCTGTCAGATGGTTCCAGTTCCTTCTTTCTCTAGCGAATATATTTGTGACCGCTATAACAATATGCTTTTCAAATGCTGAAGACAGCAACCACACACTTCTAGACACGATAATTTAGAATAGAATAAATTTGCAGCACAGGCAAAGCCTCTTGCCACCATAATGTAAACAGTTTTTAAGAATAAATAATTCATAATTAAAATATTTTGTTGAAAATGTTCAGTTTAACATTACATCTTTTGGCTTGACATCTTTACTTCCATATATAAAATTTACTCTGCCAAAATTTATCTAAGGCTATCTTGAAGCTAGTAATGTTGGCTGATTTGACCACTTTTTCAGGTAGGCCATTCCAGTCATTTACTATTCTGTTGGTGAAGCGTTATTTTCTGACAGCTTTTCTGCACATCCACTTAATCAAACTTCATACCATTTCCTCTTGTCACCATGGTAGGTGCGTAGTCTGGTTTGATATCGATATCCAGCAGTCCATTAAGCGATGGATAAGTTGATATCATGTCTCCTCTTCTGAGCCTGTAAACCAGTGAAGACCACCCAAAAGCTTTAACCTATCTTCGTATTTTAATCTTTTGCATTGGAGTGGTATTCTGGATGTTCGTTTCTGGACGCTTTCTAGGTGTTGAATTTGGTATTTTCTAAAGGGGCACCACACAACCTTACCATACTCCAGAACTGACCTTACCATAGATTTAAAAAGAAGCGAAAAAGCTTCTATAGTGACATTTTTGAAATAACGTTTTAGCAAACCAACCATTCTGTTTGCTTTTCTAGCAGTCTAAAAAACATGATCGTTGAAAATCAGCTTGGAGTCTATAAGTATATCAAGATTCATAGTTTTTTCTGCCTTAGTTATAGGCATCTCAACTCCACTTGTCTTATTAAAGTATATGTTGAGAACTGCTTTTGACCACCAATTTCATCGTTTGCCTCAGGAATGTTATAGATGACAACGTTGTTCCTTCTGTGTTTTCTTTACAGGTTTATATTTATCTTTTGATTTGTATCATACACGAATTATTTCATTGATTTTATCTTTAAGACAGCCCAGCCACTTGAGAACTGAGTACTTCTGAAAATAGTTTTTTAGTTTATTCCAGAAAAGGTTTAGACTTTTCATTCATGATATAACATTATTTATATGAGATCATTATCTGATCTCATATAAATCTTTCAAGCATTTTCATGATTTCTTTCCTAAATTTATTTATAATCTGTAATATTTGATTAGCTAAGATCTCTTCGTTACTTTTAGTTTGTGCCATGAATCTCCGTCACATCATTTGAAACCTCCTTTAGGATTTTAACCATAAACTGTTCATTTTTCAGCATGATTTTTAACGCCATGCAGTTTCCTTTCAGATATGAATCACAAAGCTCTAGTCCCAATCCGCTGACTATCAGAGCAGGTTTTACAGCGTTTTCATTTTTGCTCCTTTGGTTTGTGAAGGCATCATGGTGGGTGATAATAGGTATCGTCGGCACGTTGGAGTAACTAAGTGATCAATAAACGTCAAAAACGCCGCAAAATACCACACTAAGTATTTTATTTACATAATTATAATAATTTGATAATTTATTTATTAACTATCTTAGAATACTAAATAAACTTTATTTTAAAATTGATTACGTCCAATCGGAAGCATAGATGTAAAAAATTTTCACTGTGCAAACAGTTAAATCGAGCACAATCTGTTATACATCTACATTGCGCGAATTGCTTGTATGTAGGTGGAAATGGGTATTTTTCCATTAACTTGGGTTTTAATTCAACATTATCATCATACCACCCACAATAAGTAAACCAGGTAACAACGGTTTAGACTTAAGAGCGTTTCTCCACAAAAATGGTAATGGGCACGTTTAATGTGCAGTTTCAATGAATCGAATGTAGGAGGAAGCATTTCTGGCTTTTTTTTTCCAAACTGTAATACTCGAATATTGATTGATTTGATGTTTTCCGCATTATTCGAGTAAATGTTTATACTATCCGGTATGTTCCCACACCAATTTCTGCTAGCAATATAGGATTTTTTTATATAAAAATCCAAGGCAATTTTCCTGCTAATGCCATTTGGCTGACTGGCTGTGTCACTTCCAGTAATTGAGTGAAATCCGATGAGAGATTATCGCACATCAATTGGCATGCTGGAAAATATTGTATGTAGTGGAACGAATATTTTTTGTGATGAAGTTCCTTTTGATATCCATACTTCATCTGCATCACTTTCTTAGAACAGATTTACTAGCCTAACTAACACATCTGGATCTTCACATTGCACAACAATTCGGTTTTATCCATTATTAGTTGCATTTTTTGCATGAAGCCAAATTCTTGTATCTGCTTCTTCATGATTTGCAAATAATGAGTTGACAAAAAGCCAGATGTAGAAGTAGCTTTATCAGACTGGTAAAAACCTCTTGCTGTTAATATCACATGGTTTAGATCTTTTTTAGAAGATATATCCATAAATTGATTTGAGGGAAAGTGAGTTAAAGCTTTTTTATTATCAATCAGATTAATGAATCCACCCCAATTTTGTATGTCACATCTGACAAGGGGATGCATGGTTTCTGCATTTTGCTTTTGATATTGATTTAATAGAAATATTTTTGTAGTTATCAAAGACAGCATCTATTCTTGTTGTGTGTTAAATATTGTGGCATTAAAATGTAGCTGCATTCGATCATTAACAAAAATTTTTGTAGCAATTTTCCTTTATCAAATGCTGTAAGTCTTTCTGGATGTCCTCTGAAGCTACTTTTTTAGTTAAAATATTGAGCAATTAAAGAGTGTCAGAAAACACATCAAATAATTGAAACTGATTACTAAGAGCCATTACATCAAGTTTATCATGTACAATCCTTTGCTTCCCTCCTCTTTCAATAGATGGTTGTTCATTCAAATCATCAAGGTCAGCTAAAATAAACATCTTTCTTGTGTCATTGAAATGTGTACAGCTGCTATTGTTTGTCAAACACAATTTCTCTCATGCTGTTTCAATTCTTGTTATTCCAATAAATCCTCCAAGTATTTTGCAGTTTTATTGATATATTCTACAGCTTCATCTACCGTTATTATTATAATTAGATATATGCATGGCAATGTATGACAAATAGTAGTATGGCTCGAAAAGAGGAACATTTGAAATTAATGTCAAAATTTTGAGAAATAGAATATGGATTTAATTTATAAATATATTAACGACATTTTTGAATCCTTTGATTTCAAAAATATACAAAAAAAAAAATTTTTTATTTAATCAAGCAAAGCAAAAAAATATAAATGATTTGGAGACCAAAAAAATTAACTTTTGTGGGCTTGGCCACCGTGTAACTTAAAATAGCTTTTCAATGTTCTGATAATATAACAAGAATAAATTAGAATTAGAATAAAATAAAATTGTCAATAGAAGAAAAATGAGTCAATGTTAATGAAATTAAATTTTAGCCAATTATTATCCTTTAAAGACAGAACTTTTCGTAATTAAATATGGATTTAATTTTTCAATATATTAAGGACATTTTAATTAATATAATTTGCTGCCAAACTAAATATATTAAATTGTGCGGTTTTAAAAATAAAATTAAATAAAAAATTGGATCCGTCATTTTAAAAATAGGCTTCCAAAAGTTAGTCCCACCCATACATATCATCTACACCACTATACTGATGAATCTAGCATAGTGGTTGCTGGTTAGGTTTTGGGGTAAGTGAACTTTGTAATTTTGTGTATTTCACACAAGAGGAGGCCTCAACTACTCGTTGCCAACAATATCTTTGTCATCACAAAAACCAGTTATGTATTTTAATAATTGTTTTAATAATTAATAGTAATTTAGGCAAAAGTATAAAAGTCTGACTATGCGTGTAATTATTTTTATGAGACAAACATGGAAGTGAGAGTATAAATAAACTTTAAGGTGAACTTAGTTTAATAATAATAAAAATTAGAATGTTAATCTCCTACACTTGAAATAAACCATAACTTAGAACATTTAAAATGAAATAAATTGAAATAGTATAGCTATTTATTAATAATATTTATTATAAATATTTATAATGAAAATGTTTTTAAAAAGACAAATTCATATTTTTAATGCCATAACTGCTGTAATGGTGATGCAAGGTAGGCAGGAAAATATACTTCAATCATATGTGTAGAATAAATGCATTATGTATAGTAGACATGAAAGTCTAATTTTATGTTTCTTTAACGTTGGTGGGCATAAAGATATACTTTGATGAACTGCTTTAACATTGGTAGGTATGAAATTCCACATTTTTGCATAAAAGTTAGGGGTTAGGGTGAGGGTTATTATACTTCATAACTAAGAACATTTCAAACATCAATTTAGTGTTTCATTACAAAAGTTAATAATTTTTAAATGCTTAATATTTAATTAATTTTTTAATTTTAATTAATTAATTTTTTTTAAATCATTGAGGTATGAGTATAAATAACTTGTTAAATGTTTAATATCTAAATAATACATAAAGGCATTTTGCTTTCACCAACTTTAATCCTAACTCTCACCCTGACACAATTCAAATTTAATCTCAAACTGTAAAAGTGCATATTTTCATTATTAATCTAGGTTAATAGTTAATTGAACATGAACACCCTGGTTTATAATTGTCTTCTTGTTCTTCTTTCTTCTCAACTCATGCTAACCACTCTTTCACTAAATCTGAATTTGCTTTTTCTGGCTCTTTTCTCCTCTGGAACTCTCTACCTCCTTCTTTGACTACTTCTCCATCACTTACGACTTACACTGTAAGTGATGGAGAAGTTTTTGTAACTTTGTAAGCCTTACAAAATTCAGAGAGGATCTCAAGACCCATCTGTTTATAAAATTCATTAGTAAAACGTGAGATAGGTACTCCTATGGTATAATCCATGTTTACAAACAATCATAATGTACTTTTAATAAATTAACTACATCCTATTTGAATTATCTAGCGCTTGATTATTTATTTATATCAAATTGAGAATAATTCAATGCAAGTTAATTCTTAGGCAAGTAATTTAATACAAGTAAATACAAGTTAATTCTTAGGTAAGTTTTTTAGATCATTACTTGTCAAATATCAATGGCTTATGGAGTGGTTAACAGGGTTAGGGTTAGGGCCTCTATTTTTAATAAAATTTTCAATCATTTCACGAATGATTGAAAATTTTAACCACTCCATATTTGTGAAATGATTGATTTTTTTTTTTTTAAAAAGGGAGGCCCTAACCCTGTTAACCACTCCATAAGCAATCAATTTATTGATTGTTATCAAAACAGAAATTTACTCATATTTTAACTTTTTTTATTTAATGTTCACTATTTCAACTATTTGACAAGTAATGACCTAAAAAACTTACCTAATTAAATCATTTTCAATTTGATATAAATAAATAATCAAGCGCTAGATAATTCAAAATGGGCGGAGTTAATTTATTAAAAGTACATTATGATTGTTTATATTTTATAAATATGGACAATAACATAGGAGTATCTATCTCACGTTTTTCATTGAGGAGCGCTGTTGAACATCACAAAAATAGCGCTTTATAAACTAATTGATTAATTGGTTCACTTTATTTATATACTCTCACGTTCATGCTTATCTCACAAAAATAATAAAATTGCATGTGTAGTCAGACTAGTGTACTTTTACCGTAATTTATTAAGAAATGTACAGAAAAAGTAAAAAATATTGAATATAAGAGAACAGATATTGAAATAATCTTACTTTTTGTAGGATATTTGTTAACGGTCGGATAAACTTTTTACAAGATATCAAACGCGCAATTGACGCACTGTTCGACATTTCGAGCGAATTAGAATAATAGATTAACTTTTAAATTTTTAAATGTAAATTTTCAAGCAGTAGCACCAGTTTTTTTGTCTGTTTTTCAGATAAGTTAATTCCATGAATATATATAATGGTTAATTCATATAATTTAGTTAATTTATGTTCATAATCTAATTATCAAGCAGATCATATGTTTTATTCTATATATATAATGTAGGTATATAGAAAAAAATCATGTACTAATCATATATCAATCAATCAATCAATCAATTAGCTTATAAAGCGCTATTTCCGCAATGTTCAACAGCGCTCCTCAATGAATTTTGAAAACAGATAGGTCTTGAGATCCGCTCTGAACTTCGCAAGTGATGGAGAAATAGTTAGAGAAGTAGGTAGAGAGTTCCAGAGAAAAGGACCAGAAAAAGCAAAAGCAGATTTGGCAAAAGAGTGTTTAACACGAGTTAAGAAAAAGCGAGAAGAAGAAGACGATCGTAAACCGGGGCGTTTAGGTTCAATTAATATATCTGATAAGTACTTAGGAAATAATTTAGATTGAGACTTATACATGAACGTGCAAATTTTTAAAATTATTTTATATTTTATAGGTAGCCAGTGCAAGAGAACAAGATATGGAGATATATGAGAAAAGAAAGGGGCACGAGCAACTAGACGAGCAGCAGAGTTAAAAGCTTTACTTAAAGGATAGAGTATAGAGTCAGGAAGACCATAGTAGAATAAGTTACAATAATCAATCCTAGATAAGACTAACGAAGTAACAAGAAGGAGAAGAGTAGGATCATCAAGAAAAGGCAAAAGTTTTTTTATTCTACGTAGATGAAAGTAAGAGCTTCTAGCGACACTATTAATCTGAGAAGAGAGAGACATAGTAGAATCAAAGATAAAACCTAGACTACGAAACTTATGAGAGACATCAAGAGTTTTAGAATCAGGTAAGATAATAGGAGGAATAGTAATTGAGTGTTTAGATTTATTAAAACAAATTAATTCAAACTTAGAAGGATTAAGT